GGTAGCAGCTTGAAAGGCACCAGTGACATACAGGGAAAAATTGAAGTATCTGGCATCAAGGTGAGCAGAGACCATTGTCCCTTTTGTAAATCCTCCCTGCACAGAGCCACTGAGTTGGCAAGCAGGTACCATATCTGAGAATCCATCAACCAGGCTAACACTGTTTGACCCACCTTGGAGACCCCCAGACTCCACTCCACCCAACATAGAAGCCCACCCAAGCTGCTTTTCCATATGAATGGTTGGTCTTGGCTCATGCTGGACTACTTCCTAAATCCCCTCAAACAAGCAACAGCTGGCCTCAGTGAGCCCCAGGCCTGGCTCTAGCAGCATCCAGCCTGGATTCAAGGCTTGGCTTCACCTGGGAATCCAAGCCCAGCACAAGTGACAGCCATCACAGATTGCTTTATAGCTCAGGTAGGGTGGCCGCGGACAGAACACATGTCAGGGCTGACCTTGGCCTGTACCACCCCAGGGTGACCCCAGGGCTGAAACACCCAGTGGACAGCTAAAGACCACATCAGAGCATCACCACCATGACTTTGGATGGCTGACCCTCCACGGAGGGAGGAGTTTGGTGGTCAGTGGTCACAGCCAGTCCTTGCAGCTGATGGCCTGGATAAATCCCTCCCATTGATCTGCCAACAGCAACCAAGGCGCAACTACGAGAGGAGGGTGTACTCAGTTCTCATGAAGGGCGTACCTTGAGTACCCAATTTGGGTAATAAGGGAGGCTGTGTCACTTGACCCTACAGGGTACCTACTATATGAGACCACACTACCAAGACCTGGAGTCAAAGCAGCTTTATCTAGAGCATAGAAACTAACACAGGGAGGCTGCCAAAATGAGGAGACAAAGATACGTGGCCCAAATGAAAGAACAGATCAAAATTCTAGAAAAAGAACTGAACAAAAGGAAGATAAGCAATCTTTCAGATGTAGAGTTCAAAACACTGGTTATAAGAATATTGGGGGAACTTAGTGAGGACCTCAACAGCATAAAAAAGTCCAGTCAGAAACAAAGGGTTCACTAATTGAAAAAAGAACAATTTAGAGGGAAACAACAGTAGAGTATATGAAGCAGAGAATCAAATCAATGTCTTGAAACATAAAGAAGAAAGGAACCCTAATCAGAACAAGAAGAAAAAATAATCCAAAAAAAAAAAATGGGGATAGTATAAGCAGCCTCAGGGACAACTTCAAGAGGTCCAGTATTCACATTGTAGGGGGTGCCATAAAGAGAGGAGAAAGAGCAAGAAATTGGAAATATATTTGAAAAATAATGAAGCACAGAGATTCCCAAACATGATGGATGCAAATAGGCCCACTCCGAGACACATCATAATTAAAATGCCAAAGGTTAAATACAAAGAGAGAATCATAAAAGCAGCAAGAGAAAAGCAGTTCATTACCTACAAGGGAGCCTCCGTAAGAGTGTCAGCTGATTTCTCCAAAGAAACTTGGCAGGGTAGAAGGGATTGGCAGGACATATTCAAATCATGAAAAGCAAGGACCTACAGCCAAGATTGCTGTACCCAGCAAAGGTATCATTTAGAATCAAAGGACAGATAATAAGAGCTTCCCAGACAAGGAAAAGCTAAAGGAGTTCATCATCACCAAACCAGTATTATATGAAATGCTAAAGGGACTTATTTAAGAAAGAAAAGAAGGTCAACACTATGAACAATAAAATGGCAATAAATACATATCTATCAACAGTTGAATCTAAAAAAAACAAAATAAACAGACAGAATGGAAACAGAATCATAGCTACAGAGAACATTTTGATGGCTGCCAGATGGGAAGGGGAGCAGGAGGATGGGCAAAAAAAAAGTGAAGGCATTAAGAAGTACAAATTGGGACTTGTGGCCAAGTTAGAAGCATAGGTAGATATGCTTTGCTTCCTTACACAACCAAAAAAAAGGATAACAACAAATTTAAAGACAAAAAACAAACAGAACTGCCAGAAAATCAAACTGTATGCAAGACCAACAACCAAGGAGTTAAAGAAGAAACATTCATCCAGACTGGTAGGAGGGGCACAGATGGGCAGCCAGGGTGGAGAGGACATGCAGCAAGGCAACAGCTGGTGGACTGGGCAGGTGAGGTGGCATTTGAAAGACCTGATGATCTGGTGAGGACCACATTCACATGCAGATAAACTAGGAGGAAACAACTGGGGAGCGAGACAGACCACACAACCCAGGGTTTCAGCCTGGAGAAATAAAGCCTCAAAACCCCTGGCTGTAAAAATCTGTGAGGGGTTGCAGCAGCAGAAGAAACTCCAAAACTCACAAGAGAGTCTATTGGAGGGGCCCATGGAGTCCTAGAACGTACATAAACCCTCCCACCTGGGAACCAGCACCAGCAGGGTTCAATTCGCTTGTGGGTAGCCAAGGAAGTGACTGAAAGCGGGGCAAGAGATGAGCAAGTGGCATTGTTCCCTCCCTGACCCTTCATCCACATTCAGCACAAGAACACAGTGAAGTGGGTTGCCCCACCTTGGCAAATACCTAAGTTTCCACCCCTTACAATGTAACAGGTGCACCAAGACAAAGATATATGGCCCAAATGAAAGAACAGATCAAAACTCCAGAAAAACAACTAAGCGACAAGGAAATAGCCAACCTACAAGATGCGGAGTTCAAAACACTGGTAAGCAGGAAGCTCACAGAAATGATTAAGTATGGTCGCAAAAATAAGGAAGAAGTGAAGGCTACACAAAGTGAAATAAAGCAAAATATACAGGGAACCAAGAGCAAAGGGAAGGAAACTGGGACACAAATCAACGATTTGGAACAGAAGGAAGAAATAAACATTCAACCAGAACAGAAAGAAGAAACAAGAATTCAAAAATTGAGAGGCTTAGGAACTTCTGGGACAACTTTAAATGTTCCACCACCCAAATCATAGGGGTACCAGAAGGAGAAAAGGAAGAGTAAGAAACTGAAAATTTATTTGAAAAAATAATGAAGGAAAATGTCCCCAATCTGGTGAAGGAAATAGACTTCCAGGAAATTCAGGAAGCTCAGAGAGACCCAAAGAAGTTGGACCCAAGAGGAACACACCAAGGCAGATTATAATTAAATTACCCAAGATTAAAGATGAGAGAATCTTAAAAGCAGCAAGAGAAAAGAGACAGTTACCTACAAAGGAGTTCCCATAAGAGTAAAAACTGATTTCTCAAAAGAAACCTTACAGGCAAGAAGGGACAGCGAAGAAGCATTCAAAGTCATGATAAGCAAGGACCTACATTCAAGATTACTCTTCCCAGCAAAGCTATCATTTAGAATGGAAGGGCAGATAAAGTGCTTCCCAGAAAAGGTCAAGTTAAAGGAGTTCATCATCACCAAGCCCTTATTATATGAAATGCTAACAGGACTTATCTAAGAAAAAGAAGAAGGTCATAACTATGAAGAGTAAAATGACAACAAACTCACAACTATCAACACTGGAACCTAAAAAAACAAAAACAAACTAAGCAAATAACTAGAACAGGAATAGGATCACAGAAATGGAGATCGCATGGAGGGTTATCAGCAGGGAGGGGAGGGGCAAAAAAGGTACAGGGAATAAGAAGCATAATTGGTAGGTACAAAACAGACAGGGGGCGGTTTAGAATAGAATAGGAAATGGAGAAGCCCAAGAACTTACATGCACGACCCGGGGGCATGAACTAAAGTCGGGGGTGGGGGGGATGTTGGAAGGAGGGGCAGTCCAAGGTGGAGGGGGATAAAGGGGAGGAAAGAATGGGACGACTGTAATAGTATAATCCATAAAATACACTTTAAAAAAAGAGATACAAACTGGTAGTTACAGAATAGTCGTGGGGATATAAAGTACAGCCTAAGGAATAACGCAGTCAAAGAACACATACGCATGACCCATGGACATGGACAACAGTGTGGGGATTGCTTGAGGGAGTGGGGTTGCTGGGGGGGTGCAAAGGAGGAAAAATTGGGACAGCTGTAATAGCATAATCAATGAAATATAATTAAAAATAAATAAATAAATGCATATCTCACAAGGTTACAATGGAGATGGATGAGACAATAGGTGCTAAATGATTGGGCGCAGTAGGCAACTTAAGAGAGTGTCCCCCCCTTCCTCTATAGTTTTTGGAGGTTAGCAGTCATTTGAATCCTAAAACCCTTTGGTTTCTTTCCTGGCTCCCTTGTTCAGACCATAAGGCAAAGTTTTTCTAAACCTGGCATTTTTAACTTAGCGAACATTTGAGCTCAAAGTTAACTGCGACCCATTCATATTTATGTCCCAGGAGAACTGGAAAGGTAGATGAGGAGGTGGTGAGAGCGTCCCTTTTCGGTGGAGCCTGCGCAGCGGGGCTCTCGCTGCTCGGGCCACTGGGCTCCAGCTATTTCTCTCCCACAGTTGAAGTACAGGTCGGGCTCTGCCTACTTCCCTCCTCAGACTCGCAAAGATACGTTCCCCTGTCCCTCTAAAGAGCTGTTTCCTTCTGGAGGTGTCCACCCTTAGTCTCGCAGAATCCCTGAACCAGCGCCCTCCTACTCTGCAAAGGAAAGGGTAGGGGGAGAGGGAGGGCGGGAGAGAGGGAAGGAAGAAATGGAGGAGAGGAGAGAGGAGGGGAGGGGAGAGGAGAGGAGACGAGAGGACAGGATGAAAAAGTAAGGGGTTAGACGCCATCGAGGATGCTGGACCTTGAGGAGTTGGAGAAAGTCTCTGTCAAAACTGCCCAGCGTGACTTTTCAGGTTCCCCTCCGCCCCGCTCAACCTCCTTCCCCACAGGAGCCAGAGGATCGGGACTGGAACCAGGAGGCGCGAGGCCAGCGGCAGTGAAGGTGGCGCCTGCCCCGCGGCAGCCCCGGCCCCCGCGAGCCCCGCTCTGCGCTCCCGGCAGTCGCCCCGCGGTTGCCCCGCAGCCGCCCGTGGTCCTCGGTGCGCGCTGCAGGCTGCGCTCCTGGACACCGCGAGCCTGGCTGTGCACTGCCCGCCGCTACGCCCCGCAGAGGGATAAACGCTACCTGTGGAAGTAATGTGCGCCGAAGAGCCCCAGGAGCACAGTTTCGGGCGGGCCAAAAAGGACACGGGAGTGACCGACGAGCATCCCCATCGGGATCGCGAAGGAGGGCAGCTCCTGCAGGAACCAGGCAGCACGGGCGGCCATGTGGGTAGCCGTGGTCAGACTTCCCACGTACTTCCCGTAGCTGGAGGGCTCCCCGAGGTATAGTAACAGGGCCCCCAGGGTGGCCAAAATGGCACTGCCTGACAGCACCAGGGCCTGCTGGCAGTGAACGGGCATCGCGTCGTGTTCTCCGCCAGCGGCCGCTGCCAGTGCAGAGGAGAGCGCGGCCTCCACCTCCCCTTTATGGAGAGCAAGACACCTCTGTGTCCGCCCCCTTTAGCTTTGGCTCCCGCCTTCTATCCTACCTCCCACTTGGGCGCGGCCAGCCCTGTCTCTGCCCCGCAAAAACGTCCCTTTCGTGGGATTGGCACTTGGGGCGCGGGGGGGGGGGGGCAGGCAGGATGTGAAGAGGGATGAAGGCTTTTGGGGGCCAAACACACGTGTCCTGGGGTCCTGACTAGCCCCTACCGGTGCTTCCACCCAAGCTGCCGCTCTCTTCACCGCTTGCCTCTGGTTTCCCCGCTTAGACCATCCTTGGAAAACTAATTCCTCCCCCTCAACCTCTGAAGTTGCAACTTCGGGGACCAGGAAATGATAAGAGAGACAACAGTAATGATTTAGAGGAGAAGGTTCTCCCACCTCTCTGCGCACATCTGTGCTGTAGCCCGAACCCCTACCCTCGAACCGCCCCAAGCCAGCATCTCCCCGCCGCCTCTGGTTCCCGACCTCCTTCAGTCCCCACCTCCTTCCTGCGACCCTGGGCCCTTCATCTAGGCACTTGCCACGTCTGCCAGCCCCTCTGAGTGGGGACCACGCACTCCTTCGCCACTCTCAGCATCGGTGCCCGCTCTGCACCACCACACCCCTCGTCAGGTACCGGCCTCTCCCCCGCCCTAATTCCTCGGCCGTTTTTCTCTGGATCCCCAGGTGCGCCCCGGGGCCTCCTGCCTCGGTCACAGAGTCGAGTTCGCTGAGCGCAGGTGTAGCTGCAGGGATCGAGCCCCCCGAGTCATGACCCTGCCGATCCCCCCTAGCCTCCCCTTCCCTGAAGGGGACTCCTGAGGTCGGCCAGGTTCGGACTAACTTCTCGGGCTTCTCCTGCCGAGGCTGCCTCCCCCAGCGCGGCTGGCGGATGAGTCGGGTGCCGTACGGCGGTGCCATCGGAGACGCTGCGGTGCTCTAGGTACCCAGACGCCGTTCTCTCCCTTCCTTTTATTGGCCGCCCTTCTCTCATTCTCCGCGTTCTCCAACCTCGTTCATTATCTGTTTCCTCTTCCCTTCTGATTCAGCATCCAGACTTCCTTGGCTGCCCTCCTGCTCTGTTGGGTGCCCCTTTCCCCCTCCTCCTTTCTTTGACCAGCTTTCCTCCTTCCAGGAGAGTCTCTTCTTCCCACCTGCTGTTGTACACCCTTTTGTCCCACCTCCCTTGATTATTTATCCCTATTAATTTTCTCCTCTGGTCCCTACCTCAGGCTCCACCTCAGAGACTTGCCACCAATCTCTCCCCCCCCCCCCCCCCCCCCCCCACCTCCCTCCCCGCCCCCATCTCCCTCTCCCCCTGCCACCCCTGCCCCTATTTCCTGGGAGCTTTCTTCATTCTAACCCCCTTAGCTCCAACTCATGGCATCTCAGAATCTTCATTATTTGAAGCCCCATCCACGCATGCCCTTTTGTACTGGCTGTTTCAATGAAAGGCACACTGTCTCATCTGACCAATATGGGGAGGAGGCAGGGCCTTCTGATTTCTGGCACAGGTAGAGTGTAGTGTTGACTCTTTATTCCTACAGGGCACCCTCTGCTTGCTGACCAAGAGATATTTATCATCTCCCTGTTAGGTGATACGTTAATTAGTAATCACACTGCAGTTTTCAACTGATCACCATGTAAGAATCACTCATGCTGAATGAGGTGCTTTGAAGGGAGTGATCAGGGGTTGGTTCACACAACTTCTTGGAGCCAGTTCTGCAAGGGCTTTACATCGCAGGTCCAGTCCCAGCGTCCTCCGCTACCACCGGCCAGCGGAGGGTGCCCAAATCCAGATCCCCAGCAGCGACCTGAGCTGCTGATCTGCCTCTCCTCCCTGACCAACTCCACCTGCATGTCCTTCAGAGATCTCAAACTCAACCCCCCCCAAAGCTGGACCAGTTTATCGCTCCCTCTGTGCCCCATCCATGCCCAGATCCTCCTCCTGCCATTACCAATGGTTACATCTTCTCTGTCCTCAATAGCTATACCCTCCCTGGGAGGCTGGCATATAGACACAGAAAACTATAGATTTCTTGATGCCATGCAGTATGAGGAGAATAAGCAATGTGACCTTTCAAACCCAACTCAGTGGAAGAACTTTTTTAAGCAAAATTTCTCCTGTCTCAGTTCCCTCCACTCCTTTTCCTAACTTTGCCCTATTTTGGTCCTTATTAATTTTTTTTCACTGTACCAGTTAGCGTTTGCAGCATAACAGACTATCTTAAAAGTCAGTGGCTTAACAAAACCAATTATTTTCTATTTATGTGCCTGTCAGTCAGGTGGGGTCAGCTGACCTAGGCTGGGTTTGGCTGATCTTGGCTGTGCTCATTCATTCATCTGTGGAGCAACTGAGAGACCTGCTCCAGGCGGGGTTTGGCTGCGGAGCCTTAGCTGGGGCAGCTCTAGTCCACAAGGCTCTCATCCTAGGATAAGCGAGCTAGTCCCAGCATATCTACATAATCTCAATAAGAGAGGCACAAGAGTACAAGAAACACACAAGACCTCTTAAGACTCAGGCCAAGAACCAGTACACTCTTACCTCCTATTCATTCTAATGGCCCAATCAAATCATGTGTTGGATTCTAGAGTCAGAGTGAGAGAGTAATGCAAAGTTAGATGGCAAAAAAAGAGAGATATAGGGAGAAATAGAGAATCAGAACCAATAATGCAACTGTTCAGTATTACATACATAGAGGAAGTACCCAAATTGTAATATACTGCTTGATTGACTTTGCACAAACTGAACACTTTGTTATAACCAGCACTTAAGTCAAGAAACAGATTATTAGTGGGTAGAGCAGGGGAAAGTGGTGGTGGTAAAATGGAGACAAATGTATTTGAACAATAAAAAAAAAATTATTAGCATACCAAAAGCTCCTCCCATGCCTCCTTAAATTCCTCCCATAATAACCATTATTCTGAATACTAATGCCGTAATTTTTTATGCTTGCTTTTTTCTAATTTTATTTTTCAATTACAGTTGACATTCAATGTCATTTTATAATACTTGCAGGTGTATAGCACAGTGGTTAGATAATCATATAATTTACAAAGTGATCCCTCCAATATTTCAAGTTTGAACTTTATATAAATATAATCATATAGTATTTACTCTTTGTGTGTGTTTTCATGGTATGCAAGATTTGTTTTAATCAGCTACAGTGAGATACACAGACACAGAAATGACTGTCATGAATGAAGATACACAGACACAGAAATGACTTCATGAATGAAGTACTCACAGATCCCTAGAAACAACAGGCGTAGCATGCCACACAAAACCACATAGGGCAGGACCAGGATAAGGCAGAAGGCAGAGGGAATGAGAGAAAAATATGGACAAGAGCTTTTATTGTGGTTCCTGAGGGAAGGAATGTGGTTCCTGAGGGAAGGAAGCCAGCCTAGGATTGTCGTTTAATTGTCTAGTTTGAATAATTTCAGTGTGCTTTTGGTTTTAGGGACTATCTCCAGTTTTCTGGTATCTGACTCTGAGGTGATTGGTGCAGGTGAATAGTGGTCCAGAGTGAGCTTGATGTAAGATGTGGTCATGGTATGGTGTGTGTATGTGTGTTGAGAGAGAGAGAGAAAAATCACCTCAGAAATAGCAATCCCAGAAGGTCATGCTGTAGTGGTAGGAATTTTTAGAGTGAAGGCATCCTTCCTAACAAAATGCCAAAGCAATGCCTCAAAGGGATCAAAATGATTCCCAAGTAATTTATTAAAGCCCAATCCTCCTGAAAGGAAATCAATTAAATCCAGATAAGTAACAATGTAACTTTCACAATATCCAACATCCATCTTACAGATCCAAGAACATCGATAAACCCCAAGCAAAATGAACACACACACGAACAAATCATACGAAGGCATATCATAATCAAATTATTGACGTGTGGCATTGACTTCTGAGGCCAACCACTGGAGCTGAGCCAACTTTCACCAGTTTAGGACACAGTCCTGCACAAGGCTACCCTGACTTCAGACTCGGGCAAGTTCAGGGGCCTTCAGGCCACACACACTTCTGAACAACTGTCTATAAATCTGAGCGTTCCCGCAGACCCTTCAGGTTCAGCAATGTACTGGAACAACTCACAGAACTCAGGGAAGCCCTATAATTATGATTACAATTTTGTTATAGCAGAAAAAAATCAGAAACCACCAAAAGATGTGTAAGACAAGGGCTTAGTGGGTCCTGACCATGACGCTTCCCTGTCTCTTCCCCATGGAGCCCAGACCCACTCGCTACCTTCCCAGCACATCATGTGTGACAATAGGCAGTGGTATATTGTCTACCAGAAGAGCTCACCCGAGCTTTAATGTCCAGAGTTTTTATTAAGGTTCCATTATGTAAGCACAATTGATTGAATCATTGGCCATGCGGATTTTTAAAAAATGAATTTAAAAGAATATAAGAGAGGGGACCCCAAAAAACTGAAATTATCTTCTGGAGGATGGCCCCTTGTAGTACAGGCCTCGCCTGCTAGGTGAGTGTTCTAAGAACCCACCTGTATCAGTGTACCAGCTGGTGTTGTTGTGAGAGGTTGCATTCAGCTACAGTGAATTTTTTTAAGACATTTTCAATGGGCATTTGCCCATTTCATGATGGGTGATTTACAAGTGCACCTTCCCACACCACGCTGAGTGTTCATCAGTTTTTGACCAAAAACAGCATTACCCTCATGCTTTACCCTCCCCTATTCACCTGATCTTACCCCAAGCTACCTTTTTTTGTTTCCCCAGTAAAAAGAGGGCCTCAAAGGGAAATGTTCTGCCTGTGTGGAAGAGGGGGAAACAAAAAGCATTAGACTAAAAGGCATCAAAATCAACACATTCAAAAATGTTTTGAGCAGTGAAAAAAAATGTCTCAGTGGGTGTTTTACATCAAATGGAGAGTCTTTGAAAGTGACTCAAGTTTAAACATGTAAGAATAT